TCTTCAAAAGAAAAGTCCTAATTGGATTGAATAGGTGTTTGAATAAGTGTTCAATGAACTAAGCAAATGGGTCAGGAAAAGCGTAAACCTAAGTCATCCCTAAAGCCAGTTCCAGAGAAGAGCTATGCCAGCAGGAATATCACCAGTTCTCCTGACAAAGACCAACTGGTCAAGTTGACCTGCTGGGGGTCGGTTGGGGGGGTGAAATCTGAACAAACCATGTTACCAGTGAAAGGTTCTGAAATAGAATCATCTGGAGGCAGAACCAGAGTCAGACTTACGTTATCCAAAGAGGCCCCCATTCACACTTTTTTTTCCTATGCCAGCATCGCACTTCACTTTCCCTTATACTGTATCATTTGTGTTGGAAGGCTAACAAAAAAAAAATGGTGATACTACTGAGCAAAATAATTATGAATAGAATTGAATTTCTAAGTCCTCAAGTTTTGTTAACTGTTGTGCTTTTTTCCCCCTCTACTAATAAGATAGAAGACACATGTAATACAATAACAATATATACTAGTGGTAATACAATATAAAAAAGCAATTTACATAAGTGTCGGCTTATCATGCTGAAATTCCAAAGAGGAATTTTGGATGATGAATGCCCTTTGTTGTCACAATCACTCTAATCTTCTATGTTTAGTGGTGAATCAAATTAATCTTTCCTTTAAAGAAAGGTTAGAAAAAACATTCGCTAGTCATTATCCTAGACACATTAGGTTTAAATATGGGGTTGGATGAAATACTTGGACAGCATAAAGGCACAGAACATTAGGATGGCCAAAATAACAAAGATTAAGGTTTCACTCCAGCACAATATCAACATACTCTAATGAGAAAGACAGAAAGAGGAATTTTCAGACAATTATAGGCCTTAACCCAGCTCTCCGGTATCTGCAGATTAAGCCTATTGCAATAGTTCATGGGCTTTGTAACTTTCATGCAATTAAAAATAAGTATTTTCCCATATAATATTTTTGGTGTCAGCATCAGCCAACATAAAACAGACTGGATTCCATAAGAATCTTCGCATGACTGAAAACAAGGTTTTCTATCTTAATTGGACAATCACAGACAATCAATTTTAGATTAGATGGATCATTTAAATCACAGAAAGTCCTCGTGCTGCTTGGTGGACAAGAGAAAGGAGAATGGGAAGAAAAAGCTCTTGGGTCTGTTCATCATTCCTATTGCAATAACTCCATATTCAGAACAACTATGTTGCTCCTGAACTGGAACCATTCAATATATTGAATAGTCACGTCTGAAATTCCAGAATGAAATTTGGTATAGGTAGTCCTCGATCTGTCAACTTTAGATGCATGGGGCTTCCACAAAATTCCCCCATCAGAATTTGAATTGATGCCCACACATCTTAAAGTTGCCAACTTAGAAAAACACTGATATAGATAAACATATAAGGTCAAATTACCTGATGTTCTAATATACAAATTAGAAAAGAGGCATAGCTGTTAAACAGAACATATGAAATTATACATTAGGAACATGACAATGTTAGCAGAAAACTAAGAAAAGCCATTTGGCTTTGTTAAGACTGCCACCTGCTGAGGAAAATTAAGCACAGCATTGCTCAAAGTTAATCATAAAGAAACTGAGAAGGAATGTTTTTAATTTAGTAACATTCCTTAGATTATTTCATCATCTGGCCTTGGACGTCCTATCCATTATCAATAAAATGAAGATGATAATGGAATCTTCTGGAAAATGGAATGGAATCTGCCTCAGTTCTATAGTTTCCACTGTGATCACTAGACTGGACTTGAGGCAAGCTTAACACAGCATTGGACTTACCAAGAAGAACCAAAGTCTTTGATAGGAAGGCTGTATCAACTAATAAAACCCTAATTAGTGTTTGTTTAAGAATAAAGGCACTTCTGAATAGGAGCGCACAAATGACTCCAAATTCCAGAAGTAGGTAAAATATTCAGTCAGACATAGTAAAATATTTGGAATAGCAATACAATACTATAATCATAAATTTGGCCACGGCTTTTCAAGTTTGCTAGTGTAAAATGACAAAATGTGTTCTCTAAACATGTCTGGGTATCAAAAATTAGGTAAAATGTCCGCAGAAGAACCAATCACAACTCTGTAAGTCCAGTCTGCAGAAATTAATTTATGGATTAGTTTATAACACAAATGTTATTTTAACTATATTCTCATATATGGTGTATTAATGGCTGGAATAAAATATAATGGATATTAGAGATGAAATCAGATCTTTTATCATCAGGGAGCAACATAGAGAGATTAGAGTCAGCACAGCTGACTCTGGGCTCCATGTATGCCTTGCATTTAAGAACCTTAAGATTTAAGGTTCAGGGAAAACCTTAGAATTTTTCCACAATGAAAAGACTAGAAATGCAAAATGCATTTTAAAACTCTCAATTATTATACGCTAAATGTCAACTGAGAAAGCTTCTGACATGTATGGTATATCATGTACAAGATTATTCAAAAATATTTTATTGACCTACAGAAGATTTATACCAAAATGCTTTGAAACAACATTTCTTTGGAATCTGAAGTGCTGTATGGCTTGTATCATACACGATCCTTAGGCAACTGTTTCCATTGGGCAGCGTTTTATGAAGACAAGATGGTTTACTGACTGTTCAAAGTTATAACATCATGGAAAAAAGTGACTTAGAACTGCTACAACATCACTGCCATGTGATCAACATTCAGATGCTTGGCAACTGACTCATATTTATGACAGTTGCAATATCCTTTGGTCATGTGGTTACCTTTTGCAACCTTTTGACAAGTAAAGTCAATGGGCAGCCAAGTTCACTTAATCATCTTACTAATTTAATAAATGCAGTGATTTGCTTAACTGTGGCAAGAAAAGTTGTAAAATGTGACAAAATTCACTTAACAATTGTTTCACTTAGCAACAGAAATTTTGGGCTGAATTGAGGTTGTAAGTCGAGGTCTGCCTGTAGTAGTTTGGCTGCCTAGAACTACTAGCTGTTTGGTTCAGGTTTTATCCTGTTATTAAGGAGGACAGCCTTAACATGCATCATAAGTTTTAGCAATATTACTGCTTACTGAATATTGTTAAAATGCTATAAACACTGTGAGAAAAAAAAAACAGTTTGAACATTTCTTGTTTGTTATCAAATGTTCTACTGGCTGTATGTGCAGATATTCATGAGAGAGAAGCAAAGCAATTTGTAAAACCTCTTGTTGATAATTTTTATTTATTTTTAGTTTCAGTATACCATCACATTCCTAAAAATACTTTGGCAATTTTCTTGCAATTGAATATGCAACCTATTTAGTCATGGAAACGGCTATCTCTGCAGAATTATTTAAATACATGTTTATTTTGTTGCCTATCACAGAAAGGCAGGATAACAAAACTTTGACAACTCACATGAAAGATTATAGCTTCTCTTCAAATTCTACTCAATAACACTACTGTAATTCTTGTGCTATACTGCAATCAACATTAAATCCTGTATATACTTACTAAAACTAACCTCTGCTTAGCCAAAATAGCTTTGTTTCCAAGTAATCGTACATAGTTTACATTTTAGTTTATTCAATTTTTAAAACTAATTTGAGACAGTTTTACAAAATACAGTGCAAACAAGACAAGAAAAATAGCAGTCAATTACATCCACAGTAGTCGAATATTAAAATCAGTTCCACAGCATAAATTGTTATTTTGATGGAAGCTGGACTGTTTTGCTGCAATTAGCAAAATTTCTAAATCTATTTATATTATATTATATTATTTCCTGGCCTCAATAAAAGTGCAAGTCAAATGGGAACTACTGCCACTATAACTTACATGAACAAAATCTTTTTGTAACTTCTTTTATAAAAGCATGTAATGTGTCCCTAATGGTTCTGTCAAAATGTGGAAACAATTAGCTCTACAGATGCAATGCAGAATATGGATATTTAAGCAGCATAACACTAAAAGAATTAGTGTTAACATAGAGATCACAACCATAGAAAAGTTGTAATATTTTAATGCAAAACTATAAGTTGAAATAAAACAGATTTAAGCCTAACTGTATCCCCCTTATGTTTAACATTTAATTCTTTAAATCTAGAAATGACTACATTTTTACAATGTTCTTGTCTAACAGAATGTAATGAGTAACCTAGTGACACTCGCGGAGTTCTGGATGGGAAACTCTGGACAAAGAAACATACACAAGAGTGGCAATTTGTTATGATAAAGAGAATACTTTTGATGTAGATGTATGAGAGGTCCTTAGGCAAGAAATAGTTAAATCTCTTCTTAAATACTTAAAATTTGTAATCAGTTGAAATAATGTATTAACCATGCATTGTGTCACACAGTTTAAAAATATAAAAGCCACATGTGCTCTGATATTTTGGTTTTACTGTTAGTTCTTTTCTTAGCTAGAGGATGTAGGAAAATTATATACAAAGTGTGCTTTTCTTCAAACTGGAAGGTGTTAAAAACTGAGTAAGATGTTGCAGAATTAAGTATAGTAAGAAGTCAATTGCAATGAGCTAATTGGGGAAAAACTGATTCATATAAGAACTCATGCTAGAAAAAAATATATCCTTGTGTTCCTATGCTGCCTGCTTATGAACATGGACTTTGTGCATGTGCCCATCATTTTGACAATTAAAACAACAACTCTAAAAGCCCAGTTTTCCAATTCATTTAGCAGCTGATAAAATAATTTAAATACAGAAAGAGAAAGACAAGGACAAAAACTAATTTCAAACAGCTATAGAATGTATGAAATCAATAAATATCTTTCATAGACAGTTATGGTCATTAAATAGACATTCTTGATTAGTCACATTTTTATTCTTATGGGAAAACACTAAACTGGGACAAATAACATTTATAAGCCTCAAACATGGTCATTTGCTTGCAGGCTTTGTGATACAAAATATCTCAACATAACACATATATATTAATAAGAGATTAAGATGGACAATAAAATATTTAATTACTAGTTACTGCAAAATGTTTTTTAAAAATCTGATCAAGATAATATGCTAAACAAACATTATGGATACCAATTCCATAAATAATATGAAATTGGAATTTGAGAATTTTGCTACCATATATGGAAGAAAATAGAATCAAACCTGCTGACCTCCAGTGTTATTAATGAGGGGCCATAAGAATCTTCAGAACATTAGCTGCATATTTTTATAATGAATTCCCTGTAAGGTTGCTGAATTAAACAGATATAATGGAACAAAAAACTGAAACATTTCTATTATTTGGTTTTTGCTTTACTATAAACCTTTTCACTGAGAAATATTTTCTTCCTATACTTTAAAAATACTCTTAGGTTATCCAAGAGTCTAACCCTTTCCTACCTGTCTTTAGAGATTGGGTCAGGATATTGCACTGAATGCAAGCTAACATTCATGAAATGACTTGAAGCATTATTTTGACTACAGTATGGTAATTTGGTCTTTGGTATGTAAAACTAAGCTTCAAATCCAGATACAGCATCTAGGGCTACCAGCAGCCAATTTTTTAAATCCTATTACATAATAAACGTACTGCAGAAATACAAGCCTTTATGCAATGCTGAAACTATTATCAAATGTACCGTAGAGTTTCATGCATAAACAATATTATTATTTCCATAAAAAAATAAATCGTTTGAATTACTCTTTATTGTACCAGCAATTTTTAATATTCCCTACTGTTTCAAGCATTGATCTTTCTATAAATAAAATAGGTTTCCTCTAAAAGGTTAAGCAGAAATATGGAAGTGAAGAAATAGAAAAAAAACATTCACAATGATTAGGCAGACATTCAATTATCACAAATGATAGAAAATATAAACTACATTTTTTGTTACATCATTTACATGATTTTTGTAGGCTTTCAAACATTAACTTGTACAGACATGTTAGGCATCAACTTCAGAAGGCATCATGGTGTTGGAGCAGGAGTCACTTTCATACTGCTAAGTGCTGCATGGATTCTGAAATGTAATCTGGATTCCATGGAATATTCCTTGTAATTATTTCTACAAAACAACATTCAGTTTACTTGGTCATTTGCCATGGCCCAACTACTCCAATAAAATCACAGAGAGAAATCTGGATGAGATTTTTCCAGTGAAAATATTTTACAGGTAGTCCTCGACTTATGTACACAATTGAGTTCAAAATTTAAGTGAGAAATTTGTTAAGTGAGTTTTGCCCCATTTTATTATTTTTCTTGCCACATTTGTTAAATTAATCACTGCAGCTGTTCTATTAGTAACACAGTTATTAAGTGAACCTGGCTTTCCCATTGACTTTGCTTGTCAGAAAGTCACAAATGATGATCACAAGACCCTGGGACATTACAACTGTCATAAATATGAACCAGCTGTCAAGCATCCGAATGTAAATCACATGACGATAGGGGTGCTGCACTGGTCCTAAATGTGAAAAGTGGTCATAAGTCATTTTTTCATTGTTGTTATAACTTTGAACAGTCACTAAACTGTTATGAGTCAAGGACTACCTGTATTTTTAAAATTTTAAACATGCTGCTGGCCAGATAATTCTGGGACTTGAAGTCCACCCATCTTAAAGTTGACAAGGTTGTGAAGCACTGTTCTAGACTATGCCCTGTTCTAAACCAGGCATTCTCATTATCCAAATTCTCAATTAGTTCCTGCTCAAATACAGAAATCCCACCTTAATTTTTACTCACAAATGCTGAAGTTTCAATTTTCCTAGTAATCAGATGATCATATTTTAGTTTACAAGATCTACTAGAAGAAACCTTTCAAATTTAATGTCAATTCTCCTATTTTCAATTCAGAGTGTGTTCACTGTTTTCCCCATCGAGCTCCTGCAACAGTTTTTATACTTTTGGCATTTGTGCATCAAATTAAGATTTCTCTCTAACGTGGAAGTAGCTGAATCATATGGAAATTCAGTTTGATCTCTTGTGTTATTTAAGAACAACACGTTTTTTTTTTCAATGAGCAAGTTATCTTGAACCAAACTTGTTCTTTGGATGCAGCAACAGAATATATGTATCTTATCTATGTTAAAGCAAGATGATATATATATTTGTTTTCTTAAGTTTTCACGGGTACTTAGATGTATGGTATTCAGCTTTGTTCGGGTATTTTCCCACGTCATTATAGCTGTGCTTTTAAAGTTGTAGCAACGTTTCGGCAGAATCTCATCTGCCATCATCAATACATTTGATGTATTGTGTTCATCTGTGAGTCAGACTTTCACAGCTGTTTCAGTTTAAAATTTGGGGCTAGCCTACTGCTGTGCCAGAATGGTTTTTTCTTAATCCTGATTGGTTGGGAGTCTTGGTCTGTGTTTATTGGTCTTGGACTTTGCTGTGTTCTGCTTGATTGGTGTTTCTAATATCTTCTGTCTGTTTTGTGGCTTTTTTTTGTGGCTGGCAACATTGTGTTCCTGTATTGGAGGCTTTTAGTGCAGCTTGGCTCCGGGTAAATGGACGGCTATCATTTATTAGGAAGCTAGGTTTCATCTGGGTGCCTTGTTGGGGTGTATTTGAACTGGAAGTATCAGGGGGGATCTGTTTGTGCCCAGGTGTTTGCCTGGCTTGTGGTGTGGAGATTTTTTTGTTTGTGAGTGCAGGCTTTCAGATAATTGACAGTCTGGTGGAATCATCTCTTCTATTCATGCTTTCAGGTCTTTTTTCGATCTCTATGGCTTCTCTGATAATTCTGTGGCTGGGGTTTTCTATAGTGGCTAGGGTTTTGGTGCCATTGAAGTCGATGCTATGACCTGTTGCTTTCATGTGTTGGACTAGTGAGGAAGTGTGTTCCAGCTTTTTTACTGCATTTTTGTGTTCATCCAGGCAGGTACTTACTCTTCTATTGGTCTGTCCAATGTATGAGGCAGGGCATGACGCACAGGGGACTTCATATATGCCTTGGTTTTCCAGGTCAATTTTATCTTTGGGGTTTCTTAGGATGGCTGCTATTTTTCTGTCTGTTTTGAAGGCAGTCTTGATGTGATGCCTGTGTAGTATCTTGCTGATTTTGTCTGCAGTAGCTCTTATGTAGGGCAGGACAGCTGTTCCATAGGTCTGTTCATCTTCTAGGTCTCCATTATTTCTCAGTGTGTTTTTGTGGATCAAGCCGGTGATTTTGCTTTTGTGGAAGCCGTTAGCGGTCAGTTCTTTAGTCAGGATGCATAGTTCAGTCTTTATGTGTGTCTTGTCTGCCAGGCGTTTGATTCTGGCGATTAGTGTTTTGGCCATGGAGTTTATCTGTGCTGGGTGGTGGTGGGATTGGGCGTTGAGGTAGTGGTTGGTGTGTGTTTTCTTCTGGTGTATGGTGTGTCCTAGTGTGCCATCTGTTTTTTTTGTAGATTAGTACATCTAGGAATGGTAGTTGTTTGTTTGTTTCCGTTTCCATGGTGAACTTGATTTTGGGGTGCATGCTGTTTAGGTGTGTTAGGAAATAGTTTAGGTTTTCTTTTCCATGCGGCCAAATCACAAAAGTATCGTCGATGTATCTTAACCATAGTTTGGGTTTGTGGATGGCATTAGCTAGGGCTCTGGATTTGAATTCTTCCATGAACAGGTTTGCAATGACGGGTGACAGTGGTGATTCCATAGGGGCTCCTTCAATTTGCTGTATCTTTGTCCTTTGTATATGAAATATGTGTTGGTTAAGCAGTGTTCTGCTAGTTCCATGAGGTGTTTAGCTGGCTGGTATTTATTTTTGATGAGTTCAAGAGTTTCTTTTATCGGGACTTGAGTGAATAGTGAAACCACGTTGAAACTTACAAGCAGATCTTGTTCCACGTGTAGATCTTTGATCATTTCCAGGAAGTGGTATGAGTTTTGTTCATGTGAAGCTGCTGCTTCAGCATGGGGCTGTAGCTGCTTTGCTAAGTGTTTAGCTAGGTTTTATAGTGGTGCTCCTCTGGAGCTGACTATGGGTCTGAGAGGTATGCCTTCTTTGTGTATTTTTGGGAGGCTGTATAGTTTGGGGCATCTGGAAGATTTTTCTCTTGGGATGATCGTCTGTTGGATCTCTTTGCTCATGTGGCTGGTTATAATTTTCTTCTTGGTTATTTTTTCCAGATATGTGGTTGGGTCTGTGTTTATGGGTTTGTATGTGGAGTCTTGGAGTGTGAATTTTGTTTCGTAGTCTTTTCTATCCATTACTACTGTAGCATTACCTTTATCTGCTGGAAGTAGCATAATCATAATCACAATAAACACAGACCAAGACTCCCAACCAATCAGGATTAAGAAAAAATCATTCTGGCACAGCAGTAGGCTAGCCCCAAATTTAAAACTGAAACGGCTGTGAAAGTCTGACTCACAGACGAACGCTATACAGAAGCCTGATGGCAGATGAGATTCTGCCAAAACGTTGCTACAACTTTAAAAGCACAACTATAATGACGTGGGAAAATACCCGAACAAAGCTGAATACCATATATATATATAGTGTATGTATTATAATTGATTATAGTTGTACAAAAAAATTACTTACTTTGCAGTTTCTATAAATCTTACAGCTTTTTCTCTTTCATTCTGTTCTTTATATAGAAGACCCAACTCGTATGTTGAATATGGAGCTAAGTAAGTATCATACTTTAATTGTTTCTCACTAAAATGCAAATAGACATTGTATCATTAAGGGCAACTAAAAAGGTTGGTTAAAACTCTTTTTCTTTGAATATATCTATAAAAAATTACCAGTTAAAATTAACTACCTCATGTATTCCTTAAACCATGTTTATGTATTTTAGTAGGATAGTTTTAAATTCCAATGGAAGCCAGCCAACCTGGACAGTGGAAAAGAAGGATCTCTGCACCTGCAGAAGTTTCATGATCCATTTGACTGGTGAAGTTTTATCTATGCAGAGAAAACTTTCAACTGCTTGACTGGACAGAAATTTTGTCAGAAAAGAAAGCATATTTGATTGTGGGGAAACTACCCAAAGTTACCGGAAGTTGGGTGGCATAAAAAATGTTAACCAACTAACTAAATACATAAATAAACTCTAAGCAACTTATATGTGTGCTACCCCATAAACCAAAGGTGAAAATTATTATTCAGGCAGGTAGTGGCTAGATGACTTGATCTGATAAATATGGGATGGTATCGTAGACTCACTAAAGTTTTTTTCCCTTTGTGTCAATGCCAGCCTCAGTATTTTATAGACACCAAGCAGCTTTGCATCTAATGATGGATGAAAGTCCATCTCGATGAAAGTCCACTTATAGTTAAATATATACAAGAGGCAGAAGGGTAAGCAAGAATTCCACATATGTGCCTGAACAATTCCTGTCCCCTTTTCCTATTTTCCAATACAAGCATAAAAACAAGAGAAAATGTCACAGATCCCTTGGCTTTTCTTTTACCGATTTTTAGGGGGAAAAAACAAATGTGGGAGAATAAAGTCAGGCACTAACTTAGGGAATGACACAAAGATGTCTCTTAAATGCTACGTTCTAATGGCTTTAATTGAAGTATTCTAATAAACTTTCTCTGTTGCTGAATATTATTGCATCTTAAAATTCTGTTCCCAATATTTACCTTTGAATAACTTGGCTGAAACAGAGTTCTGCTTGCAAGAGTCTTCCTAAATGCTTCAAACACAGTCCTTTTAGTAGTTGTAGCAAACATACATCATCCATGTAATATTCATTGTGATCTGAAAATGAAACATAAGTGAGTTTAAAATTACAGCTATTATAATGAAGGTTGTGAATACAACCAATTGTCAGATACTGTAATTAACAGTTTTATATCTATTTTTAAATCTAATCTTTAATAACTATTATATACAGCAACAAAATTAATAAAAGTCTTGTTTAGTAATATTTGATTCCAGTATAAAGCGGAATATCTATAAAGAATATCTTAATACTGGAATGCTCCAAAATAAAGCAAATCCTCTATCATTCTCCCACTTCCCTTTCTTAATTCATATTCAATTATTAGTCAAAATGATAACTCCAGATACAGATACAATATTAAATATGTGAAATATCATGAAATTAGGTCTATTAATTGCTATGTTTAAAAAGATGAATTTAATATTTGAAATATTATTTAGCACTTATTTATATAGCCTTGAAATATGTGATAGTTTAGTTGATAAAGGGTCTCCCTGAATTATTATATTATATTATTTGCTACCTGTAATAGGTTAAAGCAAAACGTGTCAACAGTCTTGCTTTGAAAACCATATTTCTGTTCTGCTCAGTTCTCTAACTCTTAATTACTGCATGTTTAGAATTTAAAAATCCACACCAGCCAGGATCAACCAAAATCTACTGTCACAACAAAACCTTGCTTGTTTCATATTTACTGCCAACCCACTTAAGACTATATAACCTTTGAAAGAATGAAAAATATAGCTAACAAGAGGAGTTTTTCCTTAGAATATGGAAAACTGAGCTTATTAATATTTCTAAATAAAATTGTGTGTGCATGTGTAAAAAAATATGGCCCTTGCTTAACATTATCAAGCACAAGCAATGTGTAAAGATAGGATTTATCAATGTGAGTTTCTATGGATTCATCGGTGTATGAAAAGAACAGGCTTCTATTTATTATGGCATCCAATAAATAAAATATATGTTCATTAAATTCAGAGGACTGCAAATGTGTCTTTTCTTCATAGAATATTTAAATATACTCAGTTACATTTGTTCTGTAATTTGTATCTTATAAATCAAAGTAAAACTCACGGGTTTCATTTTTTAAAAGAGTTTCTTCTTTTTCAATAGTTATTAACATATTTTCAGTGAAGTCAGCTCTCTTTCCAAGAACTGAAAACCCACTCCAGACATACATCATTTCCTGAGAAAAAGAAGTCATTAAATGAAAAGTACTTATTTACAATAAGTTATCTATTTACTTCTGAATAAAGATAGATGTTTAGTATTTAGCATTAACATTTCTTTCAGTGTAAATTAATAGAACTTTAAAATGCAACGAATGTATTCTGTGAATCTAGCTAAAAAGCAATTAATATAAAGGAAGCAGATATTAAAATGATACACCATGAAAAATTGCAAATTAAAAATTAATATTTTTTCAGTAAAAGTGCCAGATTTTAATTTTTGTATTTGCCCTCTTGAACCATTCAAAATGTAAGTATACAAATACTCATATAACTTACTTGCAGCAGCATGAATCCATATTTATTATTTTAAAAAATGGTTTTCAAGATGGCTGCGCACATGGATGCTGCAGCTGCCCACTCCTTCTTTCAGTGTATGATGTGTATGATTCTGTGTGTGTTTTGGATCCTTTCCTTGATTGAATCCTGTGGGGCAAGGGCATCTATAGTCGGCAAGCTTTGCTACAAATTGGACTGAAATGTGAAAAGGCTATTATGGATGATTTTATACATTTTCATAGCACACCGAAGGAGGCAGCTAGGATCCTAGAGGAGGAAGGAGGAAGAGGTGGAGAAAGAGGAACAGGAAGAGAGGATGCCATGCTGGGGTTTTCTTTAGACTGAGTAAGTTTCCACACAAGCCTTCAATTCCAAGTATATTTCTTACCAATGCAAGATCTCTGACTAACAAAATGGATGAATTAAGGCTACAGATTGCAAAAACTAATTCATCAAGAACTACTGTGTTTTGCTTATCACAGAAACTTGGCTTCATTCACACATTCCAGATGCAACTGTTGAGCTGGAAGGCTACATAGTAGAGATTCTGACAAGAGTAAAGGGAGAAGTTCAAGCCTTTATGTGAACAAAAGCTGGTGTATCAATACAAAGACAGTAGACAGCCATTGCTCCATGGATCTGGAGTATATGACTCTTAAATGTAGACCCATATATCTTCCATGGGAATTCAGCGTGGTTTTGGTTACTGCAGTCTATATCCCACCTGATGCCAATACTACCATAGCTTTGGGGTTCTTGTATAACATTGTTAGTAATCAGCAGAATAAATATCCTGATGCTGTGTATATCATAGTGGGGGACTGTAATCAAGCTGATTTAAAAACTGTGTTCCCTAAATTCTATCAGCATGTTAAGTGTGCCACTAGAGGAGCAAACATATTGGACAAAGTATATACCAACATCAAACATGGCTATAAGGTTACACAATTACCACATTTGGGACAATCAGACCATATGTCATTGCTTTTAGCACCAGTATACATCCGGGCTTTGACTATAATAAAGACAGTGAAATCTTGGCCAGAAGATGCTTCCCAACAACTTCAGGATTGTTTTGAGAACACAAATTGGGACATCTTTTACCATCCTGACCTAGAGGAGCACACTGCAACTGTTCTGTGCTATATCAAACACTGCACAGATACTATCACTGTGGATAAATGTATTAGGATCTATCCCAATCAGAAATCCTGGATGACCAAGGAAATCCAGTGCCTCTTGCATGACAGGACCAAGTCCTTTAGGTCCAGTGATGGGGCAAGATATAGTGTTGCCAGAGCTAATTTGGAAGAAAGGTATTCAGAAGGCCAAGACTGATTATAAGAGGAAGATTGAGGATAATTTTTATAGCAATAACATGAGGCAGGTGTGGCGAGTGATTCAGCAAATTACCAACCACCAACCGACCAATGTCATCCCTGCTGAGGGGGATGCTTCATTGGCAGAGGAACTGAATCATTTCTTTGCTCGCTTTGAAGACAGATAAAATACAACCACCAGCAAATTGTAGCCCCCACCTCATTGTGGAGGAACAGGAGGTGAGAAGCATTCTGAGGGCTGTGGATCCTAGAAAGGCTGCCGGTTCTGACAGTATCTCTGGCCAAGTGCTTAAAAACTGTGCTGATCAGTTGGCTGGAGTCTTTACCAGGATCTTCAATCGGTCTTTATCCCAATCCATTATTCCAACTTGCTTGAAGGCTTCCACCATTGTTCGGCTGCCAAAGAAGTTCCCTATCAATAACCTCAACTATTACAGACCAGTGGTACTCAGTCCTATCATCATGAAGTGCTTTGAGAAATTGGTCTGCCGGCACATCATTTCTGGTCTTCCGCATACATTTGATAAACACCAGTTTGCATATAGAAGAAATAGATCTACAGAGGACGCTATAGCCATCACTCTTCACACTGCTCTGACTCATCTAGAACAGCAGGGGTGCTATGTGAGGATGCTTTTTGTAGATTTTAGTTCTGCATTCAACACAATTCTTCCACATAGTCTAGTGTCTAAATTTCTGGACCTTGGACTTTCTTATTCAATTTGCCTTTGGATTATGGATTTCCTGTCTGGCCGCTCACAGAGGGTCAGATTAGGTAATCATACCTCTTCAGCCCTTATTCTTAACACTGGTATACCACAGAGTTGCGTGTTGAGTCCCTTACTCTATATTCTTTATGTGCATGACTGCTTTCCCACTCACGCTAATAATACTATTACTAAATTTGCAGATGATACAACAGTGGTGGGACTCATCTCCAGGGACGATGAGTCTGCCTACCGAGATGAGGTGGACCGGTTGCTTTCGTGGTGTGGAGACAATAACTTGGTCCTCAACACCAATAAGACCAAGGAGCTTATAGTGGACTATAGAAGGAACAGATCAGACATCCAACCCTTGCTTATCAATGGAGACCGAGTGGAGCAAGTGGCCAGTTTTAAGTTTCTGGGTGTTACCATAAAAGAGGACCTGACCTGGGGTGCTCACATTGCAGCCATGGTCAAAAGGGCCCAGCAGAGATTATACTACCTGAGACTTCTCAGAAACCAACAACTGAATGAAAAACTGTTGGTGACCTTCTACCGCTGAACCATAGAGAGTATCTTAACTTACTGTACCTCTGTATGGTTTGCCAATTGCACAGTGGCAGATAGGAAAGCACTCCAGAGGGTTAACGTCATTGCACAGAAGATCATTGGTTGCCTTCTTCGCTCTTTGGAAGAGCTTTATAGCTCCCGCTGCCTTAAGAAAGTTCAAAACATTCTCAAAGATCCATATCATCCTGGGAACCCTTTTTTTTTAACTACCATCTGGCAGACCGTACAGAATAATAAAATCAAGGACAAATAGGCTGAAAAACAGGTTGTATCCCAGGGCAGTAGCTCTGTTGAATTCTACTGTATAGTGCAGTGTTGGTGTGTTGTCTGGGTTTTCAATTCAATGTGTGGAGTGTGAAGGATGTGTGTTCGTGTTTATTTTCATGGTCATGATGTGCAATGAAGATGGTGTTTGATTTCATTGCACAAGGTGCAATGACAATAAAGTAAACTTAACTAAAATTAAATACTAAATGATATTTTGTAAATAGGATCACATTGATTATAATTGTAGCAGCCTGTAAATTATAGATGCTTCCTTTAATATTTATTATGTAACCTGGCTCAAAATGAAGACTGAAATTGGATAGATCCTGTATCCATGTACCTCCAAAGTTTAGGAAATGATCTTGGCAGACATATTACATTATTAATTAGAATATATATTCTGCACAATTTGCTAATAATTTATGTTCAACAACTAGCCTCTCAAGAGTTGAAAATATTATAACTCACATGGCAAGCTACAGTACATTGATATATAAGTTCCAGTAAGATCACACATTTCTAAGTTTATCTTAGCAATATTTAGGAAATGTCAATAGATAGGTTTCTCCTGTGCTTTATCCAAGAAATAAATTAGGGTTTCCATGATAAAGCCAAATAGGAATCTAATTTTCCTTGGTTATGTACAAGAATACATACACACAAACACATATTTACTCTGTCACTCAAAAGATGATTGAAGTAAGTCTGCTGTAAATACCAGAGCAGGCACTATTAGTTTCACAGGAGGAGAGGTCCCATAGCGTCGTGCTTTTCTCACAGCAAACTTTTCAGTTGGGATAGATTTTCCTGCAATTCTTTGTTTTAGGCCTTCTACTTGCCTATAAGAGGGAAAAAAGTAGTTTCTTTAGACATTGAAAGCTCACATTGTTGACTTTTGCTTTACTGATGTTCTTTCAGAATCCCCCAACCTATAACAAGTTCTACTGTATAATAAAGCCTAGAGAGGTATTTTAGTTTTAATGTATAATATTTATTACTTGCAGTGTATTTTTAGAAATAAAAATGTAAGAGAATCATAGAAAGCTGTAGCAAATTAAAATTATGAAAATACATTAAACACCACAACATAGATCAAATGAAACTTTGGATGAACGGATGAGTTTTTAAAAGGTACAGAAAAATGTAAAGTAGAGTTTCTCAACCTTGGTAACTTAAGACATGAGGAGTTCAACTCCCAGAATTCCCCAGCCAGCATGTTCTAAGGGAATTCTGAGAGTTGGGAAATTCTGGGAGTTGAAGACCATACATCTTCAAGTTGCCAAGGTTGCTCTAAAGAATCAGTGCCAACACTAGCAGAATCCCATAATCATGGTATCACCAGGTATGAGGATCTCATTATAGAACATATAGCTATCTATACAGGTGCAGAAAATGAAAATGAGTGCTAAACACTAAAGGGAATTTCATCTCAAAAACCTGCAAAAAACAGTGAAGAGACAGAAGACCAAGAACAAAAGAAAATATCTCTGGAAAGGAAAAAAGATCAAAACAATCAATCTAATCTGATATTTAGGTGAAGGCTTTCCAGCAGTGAGTTGAAATCGTTTATGTAGATCCTAGTAATAAAAGGTTTGTGAACAACATTTAACTTATTGCCTTGAAGATAGAAAGCTTTTCAAGCATGTTTGATGAAATGCTTCCACAGTAGTATATCTAAAAATTTATTTGCAAAGTTACAATGTAAAAAAGGTTAAATCCTTTTTTAGGTTCTCTTTCCGTATATTTGGAAAAGAAAACAATAACAAGATTGTTATGAAAGCATTCCAACTAATAAACCATATACAAAGAAAGAACAGAGGTTTCTAAGTTGTCTCCTGTTTATATTTTTCAAATGCAGCAAATCTTATTGAATTACCTTCAACTGGATCGACAGTACAATTTGTAAGGGCCAATGTATGGAATTTATTTAATGGAATGACCCCAAAAAAAATCATGCAAGGAAGTCCAAGTATTTTACTCTAATGAAGCTAATTTCCCAAATCTTAAAAGTTAAGTCAGGAACTTACAAGCAGAATGGAGCAAATCTTAATTTTAGTAACGAAGTGCAGTCTTAGGTGCAATATGGATTCACCAAAAATGTCTCATGCCAGATCAGATTTCTCACTTTGGATGTGAAAACTAGTAATTAATTATCTCTAAATAATCAGGTTAAGGTACTAGTTGGAAGAGGAGTGGCTGAAACATTTTTTAACTAAGGGTAGGACATATTTATGTCTAGAATTTATTTTATATGCCATCATCCACTTTAGAATACAAATTCAAGTGGCAGAAGAACTCTATAGCAAACCCCTAGGAAAGGATTCTCCTGCCCAACCATAAAGTTATAAATGGAAGCAGTCTTTCTCAGATCAGCAGGTTTGAGGCAATGATAGCAGGCAAAAAACATGAAATTTTCAGATAAGTAGCTTAAAAGATGAAGCTTTAAATAAATTCTTTTCTTTTGAAAAGTATTACCGAAACAAAGCTACAATATCTTCTCCTGTTGTTTTCACATCAGCATCAGGAAGCATACACAAAATAGCAGCTTTCTGGAACACATATATTGCCTAGGCAAAATAGAATAAAAATATTCAATATATAGTTTCTTACAACATATCTGATCACAGTAATGTACTTTACACACTGTGTGATCACAGAGGTATTAAGCTGAATTATTGTTCCATTACCATTAAAGTTTTGCCTTACACAAAGCACAGGTGTCTTGGTGAGCAAAAGGGTAGATAGATGACACAGATTCATGACACCACTAGTCTCTAATTATGTACTTGTGTCAGACATCATGTATACATAATTGTGTTATTTGCCCGATGACATAAGTAATGAATGTTTTGACATAATTGTGACTTCTTAGAAATGCCCATGTTTAAGATTACTTTTTTGGCAATATGAATGAGGTCATAGGAAAAGCAAAGAGCCATCTTACTGAAAAATGATAATAAATGTGGAATGTGTTCCATAATAGTCTAGCAAAGCATTTTTTTCTCAGTAGTTGTTACTATAATTTCTACTTTGCCAATTTCTCAGTTGCTAAAAATCAGTTACAATTAACTTTTTCCTTTAAGTCAATGTTGAGGTGAATGGCATTTGAGTATTTAACCCAGGGAGGCTTGTATGATGGCATACTGTATAAGCATGAAGTGTTTTCACCACTTCACAACAGTACTGGGTTACCCATTTACCTTTGACCACCTGCTTTCTTTGCAAAGCAGATCTGCATACCGATATGCTTGAAGCCAGTTCTGCTGGAAGGAGTAACACCACATCAGTTCCCAGTAGCAGAGATGATGGATCTGTTTCCATTCTTGCTGAGCTGCAATGCAGTCCTGGAATGTTACCTCAGCCTGGAATTTAAAGGAAGAGAAAAATCAAACCATAGGAAAGAAGACTTCTCATTCAAATTATGGCCTTTTATTTTCATTTGATATAAAAGATAGATATAAAGAATATAATGAACTTTATGGTTCAATATTTTGAAATATTCAACCAAACAACTGCAATTTGGTGTTATGTGTGGAAGGTGGGATAAATAAGCCTATATAAAAGTTTTAAAATGGCTTTACAATAATAGTCAGATTTAGCAAAGAAAGAATTGATATATTTGATTCTTGCCTAGATTAAACTTTTATGAGGGTTTGCTATATCACATGAAAAACTGAAAATATGAGGACTTGCTTCTTCGGAAAGTAAACCTTTTACTGCTATTGATATTCCCTAACTTGGTGGAGTAACAGCTGTTTGGGTTTTGTTTTTTGTTTTGGCTCTTTCCACTCTCAAATGTCATTACTGAAGTTGATCATTATGAGCATTTACCAAACAGTATTTTTCTTTTTCTCCTCCATTTTTCCCTTCTTTGATTTTTTTAAGCTTGTGAGCAAAATTTTGTTATAACTAATGCAGAATTTCAGTTTTTATTTTAAAAGGGGGCAATCTGTTGTTACCTTTTCAAAATTTCCTTTCAATATGTTGATTCTGGCATCGTAAAACAGAATGAGGGCACCCTTGAAAAAGATTGCAACTTTGTTAGTATGGTAGAAGTGTTAACCACAGTTAAAAATACTTAACAATGTGAATTCATAAAACCTTTGGGAACTTCTGAAGATAAGGTTGAAGGAGAGTCTCTGCTTCAAGGAGATTGGCTTCCCCTGTTCCTGTAGAAATAACAACATCCTCCCTCAGTATTGATAATGATATCATACATTGATTCATACAAGCTAATTAATATATAGTATTATTAGAAAACAAGATTAAAAGAAAACCTATTTTAATGAAATGTAATAAAAGTTGTCATAGTACAGGTAGTTCTCAACTTGTAACAGTTCTTTTAGTGACCATTCAAAGTTACTTCAGCACTGAAAAAAGTGACTTATGACCATTTTTCATACTTATGATTGTTGCAGCATCCCCATGGTCACATGATCAAACTTTGGATGCTTGGCAATTAGCATGTATTTATGACCATTGCAGTGTCTTGGGGTCATGCAATCAGATTTTGTGACTTTCTGACAAGCAAAGACAATGGGGAAGCCAGATTCACTTAACAACCATAACCAACTAACTGTTACTAACATAAGAACTGCAATGATTCACTTAACAATGGTGTCAGAAAAGGTCGTAAAATGGGGCAAACTCACTTAACCAATGTCCCACTTAGTAACAGAAATTTTGAGCTCAATTGTGGTTGTGAGTCGAGGACAACTTGTATAGTAAAAGATTACAGTACAAGAAGACATTCATAGTGAAGCAGAACACTGAAAGATACTATCAGACATTAGGTTTTTTAAAGAAAAGAAAACAACCTCCAGATTTAATGCTTAAATATGATTTTTTTTTCTCTTGCTTTTTTAATGAAATGAAGTATCAGGAGGATAGTTAAAATGAAAGATGAAGTAGGAATAAAGCCAAAAGGAAATGAAAATCTCTCACTCTCTCAAAGCACAAGTATTATTTTTCTATCCAGAATCAACATTTATGTAGAAAAATGATCAGTTAGAAAAACTGTAATATAATATATCAGTAATATAGTTAATAAATGACCAATTTAACTAAATCTAAAATAAATAACATCAAGATTATAAGAATTATATGCAATAAAATGTTTAAAAGAAATTTGAGTTCAGATCTATAATTATCTTTATAGAGGGCTTTTTTTTTAAGAATTAGAATTCTTTTATTGGCCAAGTTTGATTGGACACACAAGAAATTTGTCTTGGTGCAAATGCTCTCAGTATACATAAAAGAAAAGATACATTCGTCAAGAGTCAAGAATCATAAGGTACAACACTTAATAATAGTCACAGGGTACAACAATTTTATTAATTTCAAAAGAACTTGTTTTTAATGTAAGATTCCTTCCCTGATGAGATCTAGGTAATTTATAAAAGAATGATCGAACTCCTTTAAAATTAAGTTTTAGCTTTTAGCCTATTCTTTATCAAAATAACTTCAGTAGTAAGGGAGTTTTAATCATTATTTAGGTATCCAATTCTATAAAAATCTTATCTCCCATTCTGTGTATTAATGGAACTGCTTTATCTTCAAAAAGTGTGTGAATGAAGAAAGATCAGAAACCAAAAACATTCTAATTTTTCCAAACATCTGAAGTTAAATATGAATTAATTTGATACATGAGATGTTCATTTCTTAATACTACCATAGGAAGGTTCAGGGCTAATTTAATTTGCATTCTCTGAATGTTATTTGAATTCCTAATAATTTCTGATACACTAAATTATTTTTCACCTGGATACTCATAAGTCTTACCAAGGATTAATGAAACAAAGGTGTGATATAGCAACAAGGTAAAAGTACACAGTATTGCTCGTAAACTGGAACCAGAAGCTCCTTCCCGTAACTGATGAAGTCCAATTTCCTGTCAACAGCCACAAAATTGTACAATATAAGTCACAATAATCTATCATTTTTATGAATGCTATTTCAAGAAAACACAAAAAAGGAACTTGTATGAACACAGTAGCAAGGTAGAATTACAACTATGTCAGTATCATTTGCAAGTGAAGTGATGTATGTCTTATAGATCATTCAATGTACTGAATATTATTTGATCCATGACCCTGTTTTATTTAGGTTGTGGATCATGTAGATTTCTACTCATGCTGAAGCATAAAGGCCCCCCTCAAGCCTTCTCATTCCCAGGAGAGAGGTAGGGTCAGTGTGGAAACACCATTGTTTTCTCTCCACTTTCAGGCACAGGGCTAAGACTATGACAATTCATCATGGCCGACTTGCCATAGCCAACTCACCATGACAAACTCGCTACACCCAACTTATCACTAATATCAAAGAAATGATGGAATAGTACCATTTAAGGATGCAAAAGGAGGGACAGAATGAAATGTGAATGACAAACATTAAAATATATTTTTATTTTATTTTGAATAACTAAACTGAATTGTTAAATTATCCTGCAGCGAATTGTCCCGCAGCAAGTGGCAAGTTGTCCCACAGCAAGTTGGCAGTGGTGAGTTGACTATGGCAAGTTATCCCATTCTGACAACGCTATAGACAGGAAACAGAGAGAAAATATATACATTGTTCACTGGAGAAAGGAGAGACAGTAAATGAAGAAACCAATCAAGGGGTAAGTTCTGTTAATAGAACAATTTTGATAGCAGTAGGTGACAGCAATTATATTCCATTATTTGTAAAATCTGCTTTATTAAAAGTAATAGTAATAAAATTATTGAAGATTTTAAAACTAAAGATATAAATACTTTGTGTCACCTACATCTCATATCCCTATAATCAGATCTGAAGATGATCCAGATGCACCAATTATTTATTCCTGTCCTGACAAGCAGAGCTCATCAGCTGTTTTAAAAATTCATAATAGAAATTAAATGTAATACCCTATTGCCTGAAAACCCAATAAATTCAAGAAGTCGGAGAATTCTTCCTGGTAAAAGGGACAGCATCTGCAAAAAAGGAAAAAAAACAAAGATTCCATCTGTTTTTAATGCAGCAGGAAAAACAAATATTTAAAAGTTATAGCATAATAGCTTTAAAAATGTTCAGCACAACTTTCAGACAACATTAATAAAGTCCAAATGACTTGATGTTATGTGTTTTTACATTCAGCAGCATTTCTTTTTTAAATTATACGTGAGGAATTGTATAGTTTAATGATTTTATATTTTATATTTTGTTTTAAACTTGTTTTCTCCCCAGAATCATGGTGAGAGGAACAACCATATAAAACTAAAATAATTGAATAGAATTTAAAAAAAAAAAAAACCTTTCAGGGAGTTCTGTATTCCAATACAACAATAAAACCACGAATGATAAAATGCATATGTACAGTTATTTTAAAAAATTGTACAGGGTGTAATGAAAGCACAATAATGTTTGAAAGGTACAATATAATGCAACTGTTTTAAATAGCTCATGCATCAAAAGTTTGATTACACATTGGAAGGAAAGCTCATACCAGATTGAAAGCTCCTATTCCTAGTTGTACACCCCCTTCAAACTGGTGGAATATTTCATTCCTGATTTTGCTGCTTTGGGTCATCTGTAGAACCTGAAGGCATTCCCTTTTGATTAACAAAACAAATCATGCTAAATTAGATAACAGCAATGATAATATGAACTGTTATTATTTCAGAGTTTACCATGCTATACGCTACGGGTGTCATTTGATTGGGCTGCATTGGGTGAAGACGAATTGTCTTAGGTCGCATATGAAATATATAATATAATTAATGTATATAAGTAACAAACTTCCTTTTTAAATATGTATTATATCTTGCGTGGTTACGTTGCTAACTGCCCAGGGATGCATGCCAGTCCTCGTCTGAATTTAAATTTACAGATACTTGCCCTATTGACATTATCATTAAAATTCACATCTATTTAAGCAATTTCCATTATTGTCTATTCTAAAATCCCCAAATCTATGATTTCAGAGTAATTTGATCAATGACACCCAATATTTACCTACATACACTGTAATATCAGTGCATTTATTTATTTGTTTATTTATTTATTTATTTGGTTTATATTGCCGCCTATTTGCCCATGGCGACTTGAGGCAGCTTACACAATGTAAAATCATATTTAAAACATAAAATAAAAATAAAAACAATAAGAACTAACAAAAAGAATCAAATAAATTAGTAAAGTACAATAGAACAAAATTTGGGAAAACAAAAAAACAAAAACCAACTCCCACCCCCCACCCCGACGACAGCGGATCACACTAGCCATCTGATGGATTCCATCCCTCTCTGGGTTTCCCAGGTCCGCTGGCAAAACCAGGTCTTCAGTGCCTTTCAGAATAGTATTAATGATGGGCCATTCTAATCTCTGGGGAAATGATGTTCCAGAGAGATGGAGTCACCACAGAGAAGACCCTTCTTCTAGGTTCTACCAGGTGTATCTCCCTCAGGGGTGGGACCCGCAACATTCCCTGCCTCCTCGCTCTAATGGGTCAGGTAGATGTCACTGGCAAGAGATGTTTCCTCAGATAACCCAGACCCAAGCCATGAAGGGTTTTAAAGGTGACAACCAGCACCTTGAATTGCACCCAGAAGCAAATTGGCAACTAATGCAGCTCCTGCAGGAGAGGTAATACATGTGCACATTGGGGTCTGCATAAAACCATGCGGGCCGCTGCATTTTGCACCAACTGGAGCTTCCGGATGCTCTTCCAGGGCAGCCCCATGTAGAGCACGTTACAATAATCAAGATGGGAAGTGACCAGGGCATGAGTGACTGTGAGTAGGGACCGCTGATCCAGGAAAGGGCGTAACTGGTGCACAACCCACAGTTGAACAAAGGCCCTCATGGCCACGACCACCACCTGCTCTTCAAACAGGAGCTGTGAGAAAAACCCCTAGATTACGCACAGGGTCTTTTTGGGGTAGTGCCACCCCATCCAAGACTAAAGGTGGTAATTCTCCCTGAACCAACAAACCCCAGACCCAGAGCCAGTCTTGAAAGGGTTTAGTTTCAACCAGTTGCTCCCCATCCAGTCCCTAATAGCCTCCAGGCACTGCAAGAGGACACACCAACACTTAACTCACCACAGGCCGAGACATACAGCTGAGTATCATCAGCATATTGGTGATACCTCAGTCCATGGTGACAGATGATCTCACCCAGTGGCTTCATATAAATGTTGAATAGGAACTGAGAGAGTACCGAGTCCTGCGGAATGCCCTAAAGCAGTGGGCAAAAGTTGGATCTCTCCTCTCCTATCAACACTGCCTGAGAGTGGCCGCAGAGGAAGGAAGTGAACCAAGACAGCACAAGGCCTCCCATTCCCTGAAGCCGTTCCAGGAGAATCCCATGGTCAATGGTATCAAAAGCCGCTGAGAGGTCAAGTAGAGCAAGGATGGATGCACTACCCCCATCCCACGCCCGCCAGAGATCATCTAAAAGTGCAACCAATGCTGTTAAACATTTTATATTTTAAATATCAAATACTTACTTAGTATCTTTATAAATTTACTTTTATAAATTTTACTTATAGAATCTGAAAAAGGAGGCATAAGGGGAAAACAAAGATGGAAAAACTATTACAAGCTCTCACAAGGGGTATTTTTTGTAAGTATAAACATATTTTCTATATAATTCCTGACAACCTCATTTAAAATCGGAATCCCGTTTTTTTAAACTGAAATATATAATAATGACACAGATCTATAATCTCATATTAGCTACAATCCCTAGCTAATTTGAATGGGTGGATGAAATGGAAAAAAAATTACTATCAGGAGCTTATAATTTCTGATACCATTTTGTAGATTCATTCATATCCATACCATGCCTGCATAATTTCACCCATGTCTACTACAAGATCCTATTTTTTTATATAGAACCACAATATTTTGCATCTTCTGTAATAACATGTACTTTAAATAGCAGAATCACACAATTGGAAGTAATCCTAGATATCTTGTGGCCCTGCTTAGTATATTATGTAGCCATAACCTTTTGCATATCTAGCAGTAAGGATGGCACCAAGCCAAGCTTAATTCCTGGTGTCTGCATCCCTGCAGTTTTCTTGATAATGTTATGGAAACGATTGCCAACAGAAAGTAATTCACAAGCAATTACCATTGGTATCCGAACAATATAAAACAATCCAAGTATATATAGATTTATCATTATTATTTATGTTTTGTTCTGCCTTATCTTTGTAAATTCATAGTCATTTTCTATTCTTGTCTTCAATCTTCCATCTGGCATGATTTTTAAAGGAGAGGGGATTAAATTAAAAATAGGACTGTCAAAATGATAGAATTTTTTTATTTTTTTAATCCAGGAAATTTCCCCCACTATTTCAAGCTATGATAGGAAGTTAATTTACTAAAACATAAATAGACATAATACACAGCCTAAGTGAAATACTATAGGAGCGTACTTATATATTTGATAACTTGTTCTGATTTTCAAGCCACCTTTGATGAAATTGATCATATTTTCATCCTGGAAGAAAAATACACTTTAAATTAAATAATGAATAAAATAGTACAAGATAGCTTTAAAAATTAAATGTTCATACACACACACATACACACCTAAATATATATAGAAGAATGTGAAAGTTATTCTTAACCAGGGGGATTTCATTAAAGAAGTCACTGAGAAACAAAACATTATGGAACCAACTGAAATAGCATATGGTAACACTAGATGGTGCTAAAAGAAAATGATAATAAAAATAACAAGAACTTAACATTAGTTATAATAATAACATAACGGACAATAAAGCTTGGCATTTCCAGAATCTTTTGATTAGAAAACTGAATTCTTCAGCAATTTCCACTTGTTATCTTTACACAAAAGTTACACTTTCTGTATGGATTCCATTTTTAATACATGAATGGTATTATGCAATATGATTCATAATTAGTAATAACTAATAGTTTATATCAAATATGCTTATCTTGAAATTATCGGAACTATATCAAGTTTCAATGAAGTACAATGCTACTTATTTTAATAGGCTGTATTGTTGATTTTTAAGATATTCCTAAATATGAATTTGATAAAACATTTGATAAGTATTTAACAATAAAGATTCTGACTCTGAACACATGCTTCAGTTCTATGAGCACAAGGACTGTACTAAGGCTTCAATAGAGTATAATCATGAACATTTTTTTTACTATTTACTGAGTTCTTTGACAGTTTACCAGAATGATCCTGCCTATATATTTATTGAAGATTAAGAGAGAGGGCTTAATTGTAGAAATTCTGGCTTTTACATTCCTCACTTCTATCAAATAAGTATTATTTGAATAACAACCAAGTTGCCAGATTCAATAAGTTCCAAGCATCCTGTTTAGCAAGATCTAGTTCAGTACATAACAGCCAAAGAATATCTTGTCCTAGCTTTATTGGTTGATTGTGAGTTCTTCCCTACTTATTGCAGTTCTTTATCAGAGCCATATTTAATCTGATAAAGTGTCCTCTTGAAACCTGATTTATGGAACCTAAGGAGCAAATCTTACTATCAACTATATAATTGTGTATGTAGGATAGCAAAGTTCATCAGCAAAGACAGAATATTAATCAACTGTACAAATAAATTTATATTCAAAATCAGGAATATTATTTCTTCACTGAGAGCTACAATTTTGGAGTTGGTTACCAGCATTCCAACGCAGAACCCAATCCCTAACACCTTTTCCTAAAGTCACATATAGAAGGTGTGGATGAATATGGAAGCTAAGTCAGATTTGGCCAGAAGTTTTTTTTAACTGAAGTCTAGAATCCATGATTATGGGATAGGGAAAAAGGCTTTCCATCTATCATTATGGGAAACAGAATGGCAAGAGTCATTACTCTATCTATAATGTTTACTTTGCACAGGAGAAAACAAGGAAGAAATCGATAATGTCTGTGTATGAAGCACTATTTAATGTGTGTCAGATGAGAACATCTCAAAAAGTACAGTTACATCTAATGATCTAGAAACTGGCAAGACAATCTTGCATATAAGCCAGTGATAACTGCATATAAGATATTTTGGGCAACAATATTTTTGAACATCATAGTATGCATACAGAATTTACTGCTTCCAAATTTCTGTAATATTTGATGGAGGAATCTCATGGATAAGAAAAGATGTGCGTGCTGAAGGTAATTTGCCAGATGACCTCACTGAGATTCACAAATCCTACTCTAGCTTTAAAAAGTACTACTTTCGCTACTGAAATTCTAATCTTTCTCCATGTCTTAATATTAATAAATTCATACCCATATCTGAATGTCTTGCCTCAGAAAGGCAGTAGCGAGATACCAAAGAAAAAAAATTGTTTGAGTCCTATATTCTAATAGACTGGCAATGTATACACAAACCATATTACTTATACACTATAGTTACCTGTATAAATGTCAAGGCTGCTTTCTGTAGTAAACATTCAGCGTAACAGAGTTCTGCATGCATTTCCTCTATTAAAAAAGAAATACGTATATACATAAATATCTTGCTAAATATCTATGCTAAAAACCAAAAGGCATTCCACAAAATATTGCTGTATGCTCACTTCTGCATTATTTTTTAAATTGACTAACGTTATTTCTTAAATAATTTAATTATTTCGTATTTTTTCTAACCAGTTATCTTTTCTCCAATTATTTAACCAAACACTGAACATATGTGTCCCTTTACTATTTTTGCAAACTGCTTTGCTTTATGTTAATGTTATTTTATTGTTTCTATAATATACATTATTTTTCATCAGGCACTTTTATTAGTTTATCTGGTAGCCCAAATAATTTTGAAGTATTTTACATATATAAAAATAATTCTAAGTAAAGCTGAAATTAATTCATAAACCAGACCAATACAGATCGAGGGAATCATGGCTTGAAAATTTGTACCTGAAATCTAAACTAGAATTTTAGAAAGCTTTTTATGTTAGGATGGTATAAGTTGTTTGGTTTTTTTAAAAAAATAATCACAAATTGCACTTGGTTTTACAAACATGTAACCAAATTAGGCCATGTTCATAGAAACTGAGTAGTTGTTTGTATATTTAACTTTACATGGAATAGATCAGAATTGCCTGTGTACTTTGATGAATAAGTGATGATAAAATTGGCCATTGTACCCTTATAAAACAATAAAATGTAGCAGCAGGACATGAAGTATGGATTCAATAGGTCCTTATTCAGAAGGGTCCAATTGTAATTCACTTGTGGTTTTTTTTTGGGGGGGGGCTATGCCCTTAAAAACTACTATGGGGGACATTAAAACATTGTAAGATTAGTACCACCCAGAATTTAGATATGTGTGTGTGTGTGTGTAGTGTATGTGTGTGTGTGGGGGGTTGTTTTTGTTTTGCTACCCTGATCAAGAGAAATGGCTGCTCAGAAAAATGTTCCTTGGCAGGGCAGATTGATCCAGTTCAGCTTCCAATTCTGAGACATGTTGCTTAAATGCAACAAGTGTTAATCACACATCTTCATTAAAAAGACTTCACTAATCCTGCCTACTCTTTATTAGCTTGTTTGGAACACTTGGGGCTACCAGAAAGTAACCTTTAACTTGACAAAATGGTTAAGGCAAACAATTCTTGAACCAAATTATGTCAAATGTGCTAACTTATTTAACATATTCAAAACCTGGGATCAAGGACTCCCGTGGAATCAAAGTTCGGTAAATTTTATAGAACATTTAATGACATAAAATTATCCTAAAATTATGACATCATACAAAATGGCATAAAACATAAAAGTTATTATATAACTTATTTTTCATGCATTTTGACTGATGTAATGTTGATGTGCCCTGCATTTAGTAGAACTATAAAAATTCATAGGCAAATATTTGGAGAATTTTACCTGATCTACAATCTGGCTTTTAGCTGGTTTTTAGGTTGCTTTGTGAAAATTAGGATTATCATATCAGAATTCAATGTGGCCACTGGGAACATGGCTGGAACTTCTGGAATTGGGCTACATGGCTGTACAATTAAGCGATCCTTCCAGTTCTGCAGAAGGCTCCAGAGCTCTTCAAAAGGTGAGGAGGATGTGAGGTTTGGTGGGTAGAATCCAGGACCCATGGGAGGAAGAAAAGGCCTGTGGGGACCCAGTGGCTGTACACAAAAGCCATAAATAGTGGGTGGTTGATGTAACTTTAAACAGCCATAAAGCAACCAATTGTATGTCACAGACTATCTGTAATGGCTAGACTGCAGTCCTTTGATATTCACACAGTGTGGTCGATATAGATGAACAAAGAAGTATATTCAGAGGTCACCATTCCAAAGTGCTGTGTAAAATTTCAGCAATAATAAAATTATTGCCTGACTTAAGTGTTTTATAGGTGTTTTATAAGGTGTTATTTTAGAGCTTGTAGCATCCGTCAGTTAGAAAGCTGAATAATACTGAACTCTAAATTATATTCAGGTACATCTTCTTGTGCACATAATGCCCTAAAATGCCCTCCACATTATTGCCAGTGTAAAGAAATGAAAGGGGCCTATTAATTGAATGGGAAGTAGCAATATCTAAACCAACATTAAAATTAAATGTTAAGGTTTTTAAAACATTAACTATTGGTAACCAACTTTCAGGCTCCCATGGTTTTTGGATCTTTGAGGATGAAGATTGGGACAATCTGGGTGTGATTCTCATTCTTTGACACCAAAGTTTCACAAGGCAGATCAAAACAGTACACTGATAATCTGGGCAGGATTTTTCTTTCTATAGAAGTGGAAAAAAGTTAAACATACCCTTAAATAAAAATAAAGAAAGCATGCCTCCTGTTATATTTCAGTTTTAGACTATTTTGCAAATCTTGTATGTATTTTTCACCATGTGTGTGCTTATATGTGTGAAAAATATATATAACTTTTTGCAAAATAGATTAAAACTCAAATATCATGGGAAGTCTGCATACATACGTATGTGTGTATGATGTACATGTGTATCTATCTATCTATCTATCTATCTATCTATCTATCTATCTATCTATCTATCTATCTATCTATCTATCTATCCATCCATCCATCCATCCATCCATCCATCCATCTTCTGTATATCCAATCAAGTAAGAAAAAGAACATACTTGTAAAAAATCTCTCACCCTTTTTTTTTCTTACCTTCACTCAGCTGATCTACAGACTGTTTTGAAACCAAACTGGATAATGATTCCACCACTGTGTTTCTTTTTCTAAACCTATATCGACATAAATAACAAAAACACATTTTCAGTCTATTGTTTAATTAAAACAACTATCATAAAAAAGAAAGACCCCTAAACAAGTTGTGCTCTACTGAATCTACAGGAAACACACTACTATTGCACAAATAATTGCCAATAACATGATGCTAAGCAAACACTCCCTTGGACTGCAAGGTGATCAAACCGGTCATTTCTAGAGGAGATCAACCCTGACTGTTCTTTAGAAGGCCAGATCCTGAAGATGAAACTCAAATACTTTGGCCACCTAATGAGAAGGAAGGACTCACTGGAGAAGAACCTAATGCTGGAAAAGATTGAGGGCAATAGAAGAAGGGGACGACAGAGAATGAGATGGATGGATGGAATCACTGAAGCAGTAGGTGTGAACTTAAATGGACTCTAGAGGATGGTGGAGGACGGGAAGGCCTGAAGGAATGTTGTCCATGGGATTGCAATGGGTTGGACATGACTTTGCAACTAACAACAATGACAAAGCAAACACAAATTTGTGACTTCTTGTCCACTTGTCCGAGGAATAATGGAATGGAGCCAGAAGATTATGAACATCTCCACACAACTGCTTTGCTGTGTTGCCTTCAATCTTGAAGCCAGAAATAGGTAATGCTTCCTTAAATCTTGTCATTCTCACACTATATCCTTAAGACACACACATACTCCATACCTCTAAGTTACAACATTTTAAGGCTGTAACCGTTGGTCCCCTTGGTGAAATTCCATCTCACTCACCATTAGCTGCAACCTGAAAAGCTACCTTGAATTGGCATACACAATATTCTAATTACTCTATACACTGCCTTTTTCTCTTTGTTCTGGGACAAGCAGGTTATATGGATTAGCACTATGTGATTTAATAGTACAAAGCTCTAGACTAGAGCTATCTCAATTACTTAGTTACTGCAGGGTTACCATCTAAGGGATATCTGTAGTAAAGTTTTAAAATGCAACAATATTACTTAATTTTGAGAAGGGGAGGGCAAAGACAATAGAACCAGTTTTATTTTTCAATGGACTCAACAGCAGATTTAAAATTTGAAAACTGACATTTCTTTTTCATCCAACTTCATTGTTATAAAATCATATAAATATTAATAAGTAATGAAAATGTTGAGCTTTCTCTGTTAAAATAACAAATACCTTTTTCTTTCCAAATTAATTAGAGCTCTACCATGAAAGTCAGTTGGTTGACCTTGGGCCAGTCACTTTCTCTCCACCCAACTCATTTCACATGGTTGTTGTAGTGGGGTAAAAGGAGGAGAAAGGGGTGTTGGATATATTCTCTGTCTTGAGTCATTTGTAAAAATAATAAAAGTAGGATACAAGCAAACAACACACATATTTTTCATTACATAATGAAATAATATAAATCCTGATTATGTCAATCCTGCAACAATGTCATAAAATTGTTCCATCTTACTTTTGACAAGTTTGTAAAGCTTCTTTCATTGTACACAGTCCCATTTGGATATCCTGTTGTTCAAATGTCATTGCTGCTTGAATAACTAATATAGCGCTATAACCTAGGGCATGGTACATGCTATCTTTAGACCTATTTTGAAAATAAAGTATAAAGACAGTGATAAGAAAGCTAATTACAGTCAAAAATAAAAGTGAAATTTTACATAATTTTTACAATACAGTTTATTTTTAAAAAGCTACTTTGTACATAACATTTTGAGCAAAACCTATAAAATTATTAAAATTATGCATTTTCCTTATTCGGGAATATTTTGGAGTCCAATCTTCTTTATTATTTGCTTTTCAAATAATATGTGAATTCCAGTATATATCAAAATATGAGCTAAAATATTAATTTTAAGTGAAACAATCAGGAGCACTTTTGCCTGAGGTTCCTAAACCTTGCAATATTGTGATGATCTCTCTCCCATTAAAGTAATTATTTCATGAGGCAAAGTGCTGGCAAGAAATCAGTATGTCATTTTTAATAATTAAAATTTAGCCTTTTTATATCAAAAAATAAAAACTTACCACTCTATAAAACACTGAAAACAAAAATACACTTTGTTTTGTGACAAACTGACAAGTCTGAATGAATAAATTTTAAATATTTTGTAAAATAAATACAAATGGGAGTATTTTAAAAGTTCATTTTAAAAATCATACTTTATTACAAAAGACTAGCTTAAAGAACACAGAATCGGGTGAAAAACTATATTCAGTGATATTCAAAGGTCTGAATTTGACTATCATGTCTAAAGCAAAACTTAGGGACTTTTCTCTGACAGTTTAACAAATTCTGTTTTAGAAATGGGATTAAATAGTTGTAAAACAAATATTTTAGGCAAGAACAAAAATTGAAATTATATTATTCAGAGACCTTAAATACATTTCTTGCTACCAGATAAAAGCTCCAGCAAACAAAACTCACCATGGACGAAGTAATTCCAGTGCTTCTGAAAATTTATTGTTAAGAAATAAATTTAATGCCATTGAACACTCTTCCAAAGCACATTTAAGATCCATTTTTGCAGCCCTAATAAACGCACAAACAGAAAAAAATTCATTACACTTACATCATTACTAACACTGTTCTGTTGTTTAATATGGTCAGGTTCTCAATGTTCGATCTAGACAAGATTAAATTGAAATAATATAGAGTCTGTTGACTAATTATTATAACAAAATATTTGTGATTCATACTTCATCCAGTTTAGAGTATTATCCTCTCAAATTTTAGGGTCAGAGGGAGCACTGTACGTGTAGTACTATTTTCTTGCCCCATTCCCTTAAAAGATAGATAGGTAGGTAGGTAGGTATAGGTTACTCCAGATAAAATTCTATATATTGCAGCAGACTGTAGTCTATAAATATTTATATCATGATATAATATCTGACTGCTACACAATTGTTATTTACATTGCAGCAGATTAATGAAGCTAATGAAGCTTGAGAAATAGGAAAATTGGGCACTTAATTACAGGTAAGAAATCAGAAACACTGGTGCTCATAAGCTTAGAACAGCTAAGAAGCCATTATGAAAGAATTCCAGCAATTGCTGGTCTATTTTTATACTGTAATTGGTGTTCCAATTCTTGCACCTCTTTCTCCTGTTTGTCCTAGATAAAGAGCTAAAAAAGCAATCCTTTCTGGAGTGGGAGGGAATTTCCATCTGTTCTTGTTTTGGCAATGGCAAAGCTGGTATCCTGTATGCTTCCCACACAGACTGATATACACTGCCTATTCAGTACTTCCTATGAATAGAAGTAGCTAATGAAATCCTGGAATTTTAATCTGCACTATTATGTCCAGCCTGGGATTCCTGGCATTTTATTCTCTTGGACTTTGGAATCCAGGTGATTAAGAGAGAGCTTTAAGACTTCAAAAGATTTTTCTGTGCGATTGCTGCATAGGAAAGCTTGTGGTAGAGGTCTCCAAAAAATCAGTGTAACCTGTTGTATGTTCCAGAAAGGTAACAAAATCAAATCTTCCAAGCTGTGAAGATGTGTCCCTGATGGATAGAATGGAGACTTCGACTTAGAATGCAAAAAAATAGGTGAGATAGAACAACAAGGCAAGGCAACATGGTGAACCATGGCTTCTGAGGCTAGTAAGGTGGGAAAAGAATGAAGTTGGTTAAATCTTTGTTGATTTTCACTAGAACTCTAAAGGTAGAATGAGTGAAAACATGCAGAAAGAAAATTGTTTTTTTTCTAAAAGGAAGAAGTCACTAACAATTGAGGGTCTATCCCATCTCTCTTACAAAAAAATTAGATATTTTTCTTACAGTGCACATAGATTAAATGTAACTGCCCAGTGAGATTTGACAGCATTTATTTCCATTTTTGGCTAGGTTTCTGGAATAGCTGAGCCAATCAGGGAGGATATTACTATATCCAGGTTTATAGTTTACCATTACTATTTCTTTTTAGACCAGACTATTGTGAGACTGTCTAATATCATCTGGCCACTCTGGTCATGGCATAGGACTAGAAAAGTGACCATAACACTGCCTTCTATATTGAGAGACACTATGTTCATACATCTCAATGCTTCATGGCTGGACTATGTATCTCAGATATAAAGAGCCTGGACACAAGCTCTTCATCTTTATATAGATGCACATAGGTTGAGGAGGGATGTGTGAAAAAAAAAACCTAAAAGTGTAATTGTCTGAAATCAGCTACTAGAAGGAATCCATGATGAAGGATTGAACTAAGAAGAAAAACTTACTTGATCTCTCTTCTACAATTGAAAAGAAAGTGGCTCATATACATCCACAGTAAAAAAAACAACACTCAAATAGTATCAATACATTATTCAATCTCACAACACCAATTTATCTTCCTTAGACTCTCCAAAATAACTTTATTTTTAATTGTGGGAGTGGGGGAAGAAGAGTGGAGGGTAGACTGAATCCCTGCGGAAGACTATTTCAGAGAATAGAAGATTCTGCTATAAGCCTTCGCATATGCCTGTGCCTTACATCCTGAAAATGGGAAATTTCAAGCAAGTTCTCTTAAGATGTTTGAGTCGGATAAGTTGAAACTAGGTACAGAAAATAGTCCTAAATATTTTGGTGCCAAGCCATGTAGGGCATTGATGGTCAAAATAAAAATTCTGAATTGCAATCAGAAACAAATATGGAACAGAGTGTACATAACAGAGAGTATATACATTTCAATCAATAAGAATAGTGGCTGTCCAGTCTTTTCTTAAAAACCTACAACGGTGAAGCACCCACAACTTCTGAAAGCAAGCTGTTCCAGTGGCTAATTGTTCTCACTGTGAATCTTTAATTCCAGGCTGCTTCTCTCCTTGATTAGTTTCCATCCATTGTTTCTTATCTTGTTTCTTGGTGATTTGGAAAATAAGTTGTCCCCATCCTCTTTGTGGCAATCTCTAAAATACTGGAATACTGCTATCATGTCACTTGTCCTTCTTTTCTCTAGACTAACCATACCCAGTTCCTGCAACCATACTTATACATCTTAGTCTCCAGGTGTTTAATCAACCTAGTCTCTCTTTTATACAGTTTTTCCAAAGTCTCATCATCTTTTTTGTAAGGTGGTGACCAAAACTGGATGCTGTATTCCAGGTGTGGTCTTACTTAACATGTATAAATACATTCAGAAAAACACTCTCATGGATTATGAAACAGGCAAATGATAAGATCCTACAGAAAATAGATTCATCAGAGCTAAGGTAGTAATGAGAGTAGGGTTTTACAGATACGTACAGTATGCATCTGCTAAATCCCCTGCAAATTTATAGAAGAAAACCACAGCCTCTTCTGCAAGTGGGAAGCGTGGAAGCAACTGATATTATCTTGAAGCAACACTTTCAAAAAATAGTTGAAATAGAAAAGATCCAACGTAATATGAGGTCACAATCCTCCTTAGGAACGATAAAGTATTTAGGCAAAAGAATAGTTCCCCCATAATTACATCCTCAATAGCCCCTTTTCATAAAAAGGGAGAAACATTCTGACATAACTCTGGAGATATTTTAGAAGTGACAGGATGATCCCCAAATAATTGACACTCAGAGAAGTAGGTACAGAACCCATGTACTTTTAAAATAATCTTAAAAATAAGACAAGCACTTCTTATATGAAAGTACAGTATAGCAAAGTCAATTAAGTATTTAGAATGATGGGCTTTTGCAACTGAAAGTGTAACTGGCTTCTTCTGCCTGAGTTATGAGCAGGGCCAGAGATGTATTTGGGGGAGGTATGAAGTAGGGTTGGGTTGTTGCAGCCTCAATTTATTCACTGATATACAATGCTGCTAAAAATAGTTCAAAGTATCATCAGTCTTCTCAGGGAATAATCTGTCCCTAAAGAAGGAAAGGTCTCGGATTCCTGTTCCAGATATACCCAAGCTAGATTAGAATGCCTAATTTCATTTTAGAAGGATATAGACAAGTAGTAAATTACTGCAGAGCAAAAAAGGATGCACAGCAGGTTGGATAAACTAGAGCCATGGAAAATATTAAAGAATTATGTATGTACAGACTGGACAGGAGTGAACCGAGCTGCTAATGATAGCATTGTACTCATATTTTGAAAGATAGTTAAGTAAAAAATTAACTCTGCTGACCAGAAAGAGGGCTAGACTTCATGTTTTTAATTAAAAAATAGATTTCATCTAAACACTAAAAAATCTTTATAAATCAAGGATTTCAACAACAGAATTATTGCTTAAAAGAGTATAGGCTTTTTTAGTGGAGTTTTTCAAGTAGAGACATCATATGTATATTGTCTCAGGTTTTAAACTTCCTGAAATAAGCAGGAGATTCCACTAATGACACCAAACAGGCCACTTCAAATTCTAAATTGTACTGCTATTTTCAAACAATTATGAACCATACTATTATCCCCCTTTTCCCTTTCTCTCCTTTACCAACACCATCTATGAGTCCATACATGCACTTTCTTCTCTACCAAGTATGTATTGGATCCAGGATACACACTTCATTTTTTCTACCGATATATAACATAGGGCAACATCTTCTTCGAATACCGTGATATTTAGGCTATGTAGAAGAAACAAAGAAAACCCATGCAATCATTAGAAAAAGATGTCTGAATCACACTTGCTAAATACAAACCTACTCTTTTATTTTTGTATGTTTTTCAGTAAAAATTATGAAATAAATAAAAGTTGCTATCAGCTGACAGATTTGCAGCCAAAGAACATGAAGAGATTAAAAAATAAATAAAAAGTGAATTCCCATAATAGGATCAAGATGCTTCAGATATTTTTAATATTTTGAAAAATGTATGGTTAATACTTTACTGTAGAGCTGACTTTTATTCTCATGATCTTTCTTTAGAACTACCATATTTTTTTATTTTTAAATTCACAGCATGGAAATGTAAAGTTCTCTTGAAGAGGTTTTTCAGGACAAATGGGAACCAAACAAAAGTAATAATTTCAAACTACAGTATTACTTCAAAGAACCATCACGTTCTCTCCTTAGTATGCCCACAGAATTTTATGGGAGGCCCAGATAATCTTCCCTCATTGTTTCTCTATTTCTTCTGCCTTATTTTGAACTAAGGAGAAAATTCTAAGAGTATAATGAAATGGATTTATAACACTAGGAACTCTTTTTTCTGTAGCTACATTATTAGCTTTTTGGAGAAAATAATATTTTTAATATTCAAATTATATTTTGATCCTGCTAGAAAATATCACTATAATTCACTAGCCATACAGTATATCCAGTATAATTTTACTGCTGTGGCAATTGTTAGTTAGCATTTCTGAAGTTACAAATATACCTTTCAAGCTAGTTGAAGCAAATCTTTTTAAAACTAATATTTCTCTGGTTTATTAAACAAATATTGAGGAGTAGTGCTACAAAAACATTTTCTTTTCTCTCTTCTTTTAATCCATTTTAGAGCAATTTGTTCCTGTACTCTATTATTGGAGATTCATATTCCCTTTTATAAAAGGGGAAATTAACAAAAAGATAATTCCTGCAGCAAGACTACTTTCAGTTTTATTCATAACACATTAAGTTACATAT